GCTTACAAGTGATGGCGTGTAGCAGGGCAGTGTGTGTTTAAGGAACTGGTGTCACCTGGCTGGTGTAAGACCCCTTCACACCCACCACCAAATAAAATGGCTGCAGCGACAGAAACGGGATGATAATTTTGGCTATTACCAAAATTAGGCCAAAATTGCGTGGTTTTTTTTCCCCACACAGCAAGTAAAGCCCACCTATCGGCAAACCTTGCACAAAAAAATGCACATCCTTGCAGCCCAGCAGAGCCCAGCCCAGAGCTGCACACCCTCTGTGCTCAAGCAGCAAGAAGCAGCTCAGTGCACAGGCCACACTTCTGATGTCCACAGGCTAAAGATTAGTTATTTATTTTCCTGGTGAGTTTGAGTGCACAATGAGGAAGTCAGGACCCATCATTAAATATCTTCCCTTAAAATTCCCAGCATATCGGGTGACTGGTCCCCAGTGTGCAAGTTCAGTGGCAGTAGACGGGGTTGGGGGGGTGGTGTTGAGGCCACCAGGTGAGTAGTGACCAGCTGAATGGGGCAGGAAGTGAAGCAGGGACTAAGCCCCAGGGTTCACGAGTGTGACCCACACAGCTCTCTGAGAGGCAGGGGGTAGAGGCACTCAGTAACTGCGGGGCATGGGGGGACAAAGCCAAACCGATCCCATCACTGGACAGCCAGTCCCTCACGTGTCCACTACGTGAATCTGGGCTCAGAAGGCAGGAATGTCTTCCTCGTTATCAGCTGACAGGCGTTCATCAGGGTGTGTGACCTTGGGGTCTGTTTTGCACACATGTAAAAGAAGAGGCATCAATACTAACATCTAAATGTGCAGCTTGTGTGTGCTGGGCACTATCTCCAGTGCTGCGCACGGTTAACACAACCCGTCTCCCCCTATGTGATATAACTGTGAGGTAGGTACAGTTACCCTGACTGCAGAGAGGAGGTGAGACACTCACTCAGAGATAGAGGACAGGGAAGCCTGGCCCCAGACCCCACTCCTGAGTATATGCCCACCAGCTTCCACTGTGAGACTCAAACTCGACAGGACGCATGTACTTTCTAAACCACAAAGCACTAGCGCCCAAATGCAGACGACGTCAAGGTCGTAACAACCATCTTTGCCACAGCAAGCAACATGGCATTATTCCCTGAGGAGCATGGGTGTCTTAACACTGAGGCCACGGAGACCCTCCCCTGTAGTGGAGAGAGAATCAAAGCAGTCCAGGAAGAACAAAGGAATTCTAATAGCTGACGGATAACAAAGAGGTTAGTTATATCTTTAAAGAAATATGTTATGTTAGCACACACACACAAAATGACTAAACCATCTTTTGTCCACTCGGTATTCTGAGCCCCAAATCCAACACTAGGGCCAACAAGGAAGCTTACAGAATCTGCTGTTCCATGGGATCTTTTTGAGACGTGTGTGTACCTGGAAGAGTACAGAAAAGTTCCTGGACACAATCTTACTGAGGCTCCTCCAGCCTTCACACCCTATTACTGTTATGTCAGAGAGGCCAGAAATCACATTTCCAATCCCATTCCGAGCTCTACCAGGAAATAATGAATGGTCCAGCCTCCCAGAGGACAGTGACCAGTGAGATGACTGCCTGCGGATTGGTCCTCTGAGTTCGTGACTTGGAGCAGGAGGAAAGCTCTGTGGAGGGCTTATGCTGACATGAGGGAGAAGGACACACTCCTGCTGGTCAGAGAAGTGGAGGAAAGCTGCAGGGCTCGGCTGGGCCAGCTCTGCCCTCGGCTCACCTCCAACCCCTTCAAAAAGCAAAAGGCAGATTTGATATATTCATAACAGTACAACAGCCAGGAACAACTGTGCTGAGCACTTTACATGGGGAAAGTTTCTCTAATTCTCAGAATTACGCTACCAGAGTGATGGCGTTGTTAACACTAATATACATAATACAAATATAGCATACAGAATATAGAATATATAGACATGGAGAGAGAGAGAGACACAGACAAGGGTCTTACTCTGTTGTCCAGGTTGGAGTACAGTAGCACAATCACAGCTTATCACAGCCTCAAACTCCTAGGCTCAAGCGATCCTCCTACCTCAGCCTCCTGAGTTGCTAGGACTACAGGCATGCATCCCCACACCTGGCTAATTTTTATTTTTTGTAGAGACGAGGTTTTGCTATGTTGCCAAGGCTGGTCTTAAACTCCTAGGCTCAAGAGACCTTCCTGCCTTGGTCTCCCAAACTGCTGGGATTACAGGCATGAGCCACCACACCCAGTCTCTGTTGTCACTATTTTACAAAGGGAAAAATAAGGAGCAGATAAATTAAGTAACCTGCCCGGTGTCATAAAGTGAGTTAGTGTCAGAGTCAAAATTGGCACCCAGGATGTCGGAGTTGTGGAGACCATGCTGTAAACAGTCCACTTTCAGGGTTTGAGCTCTGGAGGGGGAATGACCCAAAAAGTTCACGGGAAACTTGGGTGGCCTAAGAAAGTGTTAGCTGAGCATGCTCACCGTGTAGACTCAGGTGTGCACTGACTGGACCCTGTGGCCCGCACCAGCACCCTGAGAAGACACCCAGACACAGACCCTCCTCCAGCACCTGTGCCCCTGACAGTCAGCCTCGATTCTTGAAAAGTAATCTGGAACTCAGACTCCTCCCTAAATGCTGTCAGAGAGACTCTGTTAAAAGATAACAAAAGACCAAGACAGAAAGACTGCAGAGTCAAAAAGGAAAGAAGAAGAATGAACCTTGCCATGAGAGAGAAGGGAGAGAATAAGAGCTGAGTGGGAAGGTACGGGTGGAGGAGCCAGAGGAGGCCGTGACCTTGGAGAAGGTCCTGGGAAGGGGGAAGCAAGGACTGGCCAGGAGAAGGAGAAGGAAGAGGGAGAGGGCAGGTCTTGGAATCCTGAGAAAGGGAGTCCACAAAATGCTTTAACAAATCAGATATACGATTAGGGCCAGGCACAGTGGTCCACACCTGTAATCCCAGCACTTTGGAAGGCTGAGGTGGGAGGATTGCTAGAAGTCAGGAGTTCAAGACTAGCTTGGGCAGTATCATGAGAGCTTGTCTCTACAAAAAAGAACTAAAAAGTTAGCCAGGAGTAGTGGCGTGGGTCTGTACTCCAAGCTACTTGGGAGGCTGAAATGGGAGGATCACCTGAGCCCAGGAGGTTGAGACTGCAGTGACCCATGATTATGCCACCACACTCCAGTGACAGACAGAGTGAAACCCTGACTCAAAAAAATAAAAAGATTAAACCCAAGACCAACGACAACATATTGAATATCTTTTCCTAAGGGAGCCCAGCTCCTACCTGACATCTTGCTTACACACAGGTGGTCTGATGTCCTGAAGGCAGATTAATATGGCCCTCTACGGGCAGAACAAGGCTAGGGCCCGACACCCTCTCATCAGTTCCTCAAGGTATTCACTGCACATGAGAAATAACTGCCCCTCGTGACAATCTGGAACATTGCACAGACGGAGCTGGTTGGCCCCATCTTCCCATTTTTAAACTTAAAATGAGCCTACCAACAGATTTTTTTCAAAGTAAGAATCACTCGAAACCATGATATATTTTCCATAAAGGAAAAGGTTGCCAATAGCGCACGTCGTTGGTTCAAGAACTGTGGAGTAATTTGTCGATCAAATGAGAGAAGAAGGAATCACTTGGCTACCCTATACCTACAGATAATGAATTGTGATGATGACATTTCATCAGCTCTAAGTCTCCTATTACTACCCCTGGTGAGGAAGAAAAGCACTTGGTCATTGCTCCCCTTTTCTCTCCTCTGAACATTCATCAACGAACTCAGACTCCATCGTGGGCCAAAATCTTCTGCAGATTCCATTAAGCTCCAACCAGGTTTGCCTTCCTTTTCCAGTCACAAATCTTCCACACCCAGTCACAAAAATTTGCTAATATGTGAAAACATCTTGACAAGCCCGTGAATTCATTTTAGAAAGGCCACGTTTGAGCTAAAGCCAAACATATTCACATTTTTGTAAAACATTTTAATGAGAAAGCAATTCCCAGAAGCAATGAAACGGATAATTGGAAGGCAATAATGTTCTTTGGCTACAACTTTAGCTGTGATTAAATATGTAAGCCTCTAGCAGAATTAGAAAATGGTCATTTCTTTCCCTAAATCAAGTTCCAAATCCACTGGGGAAGTATCGCCTCATGTTCTTTTTTTAGTGTGCACCGCTCTCCCTGCAACTCCCTGGCAGCAGGTAGCCAGGATGGGAGCCCCTGAGCCATGCCCAGCCCCAGTGAGAGTTTGCTGGAAGCCACACTGTGCTCATTCTTCCAAACAGAATGGGCTCCTGGCCCTGCTGGGTTGCTTCCAGGGCCAAGTTTGCCAGTCATTTCCCAAGGGACAAGGAGTCCAGCCTGTGACAGAGTAGCCAGTGTAGGAGAAGAACCGACACCCGTGAGAGGGCCTGGGTTTGTCACACAGGGCCACTGTCGCCTCTGCGGACACAGCTGTGATATGCAGCTCATGTGTGGCTCTTTGTGGTTGTGAGTAGGAATGTTCCACTTCGTATTTTTTTCTTGGATGTGGGTTTTGGGGAGTCTAGATGTTTGAAAGGGGAGCTTTTAAAATAAAATTTCAGTTACTCCCTGCAACAAGAGTAGTTAAAAATAGGTTAATTTTCCCATTGCTCTAGCTTTTTTGATTAAAAATAAATAAATAAACAGAAAACTGTCGTCTGGGCTAGACATGGACAAGACCCCATTCATTCAGAATGTTATAACAAGTGCTTTGTGCCTGGACCTTGACACTAGTTTGCTTAAAGCATCTACTGGAAAAATTAACATTTCAAGTCCTGACACATTTTCTCCTCACAGAAAATACAGATGTGATTTATAGATCATTTAACTCCTTATTAAAGCTGGTCTTGAAAAGCCCATGCCAGCCATTATGAGCAACTGATATGGTTAAGTGATCAAATAGCAAATTTTAAAAATGTTCTTCAAATCAGACTATCCACTTGCCACCAACACCCCCTTCCCCTTATAACACACTCACCTGGGAGGCCTGTAGCTCCAGGCAAGCCTTTGGGACCTCTTCCTGGAGGGCCACGCTCTCCTTTTTCTCCCAAGTCACCTGCGTTTTATGAAAGAAATGTTATTTTTCTATAAACCTATAAAAATAAATTTGCATCTTTAAACTTTAAGCCAACCCCAAATTTAGAAACCCAAAGGTCATGAAGCTGCCACAAAGAAGGCTGAAGTAAGTATATAGCAAGGCAAAGTCAAGTTTATCATGTTGATAGACCCGGGAGGGGGGAATCAAATTATCATGCCATAGATACAGAAATGACATTTGACAAGACTGAACATGTGTTCTTGATAAAGCATTCAACAAAGTAAGAATAAATGGCTGCTTCTTTGACATGATAAAAATCGATCTATCTCAAACCAGAAACTGGCATGATGCTTCATGAGAATTGCAAGGAGCAGCTTCACTACAATGAGATCAACATAAAGATGTCCACTTCGTCACTATTTTATATTATCTGGTTTGAGGAGTTAAAACCATCTCTATTTTCAGGTGATATGAGTATATATCTTAAAATTCTGGAAAACCAACTCAAAAACTGCTACAAACAATACGAGAACTCAGTAAACTAGCAGGGTACAAAATTAGTATACGGAAATAAATGATTTCATACATACAAACAACAACCAGTATTACAACATAGTGAAAAAGATAATACTCACAATAGTCATTAAAATATCAAAATACGCTTAAATGGAAACATGCAAGTCCAACATGAAAAAAAATGACATTTCTAAGGACACAAGGAGATTTGAAAAATCATTCTTAAATGGACGACATCATTATAAACATCGTCAGTTTTCCCTAAGCTGAGTTTTCATTATGATTCTAAAATACAAACCCATTTTCTAACTGAAGTTTGTATGGAAAAACACATAATCCAGAATAGACACAAAATCCCTAAAAAAGGTAAGCAGCATGAAGGGACTTAATCCAACCAGACATTAAATCAAGTAAAATGGTGTGACCCTGGTCTCTGAATAAACAGAACAGAAAACCCTAAAACACAGGTCCAAATACATACGGCAACTTGGTTTCTAATGAAGGCAGCCTCTTAGGGTGGGAAAAAGTTGACCTATTCAAGAAATGATATTGGAAAAAGTGACTACTCAAGTGGAAAAGAAAATTTAGATCTATACCTCACACCATATGCCAGTAAAAAATACAAATGGGTGACATATTTCAGTGTAATGTAAAAATCAAAAGAAAACAAGGGAGAATTATTTAATAACCTTGGATTGGCCTTTCTATTATGACTCAAAAGAGGAAGAGCTCCTAACATCAACACAAAAAGGCCAGCAACACAATAAGAGATGAACAAACTACATGAGCAGACAGGTCATTAAGAGAAAATAAAAATGGCTCTTAAATATGTGCAAAATTCTATAACTTTGCTCTCATAACAAAATAAATGCAACTTTTTAAAAGGATGCTATTTTAACCTATAAGATCAGCAAAAATTATACAGTTTAATCAAACATATGCTAGCAAGTCTGTGGAAACACACACTGTTACGCATTGCTGATGAGATTGTCAATTGGTACAATCTCCTCAGAGAGGAATTTGACAATTGCTATCAAAATCTCAGGCCATGCTCAGTGGCTCAGCCTGTCATTCCAGCATTTTGGGAGGCCGAGGCGAGTGGATTGCCTGAGCCCGTGGGTTCAAGACCAACCTGGACAACTTGGCGAGACTTCGTCTCTGCAATAAATCAAAAATCAGCTGGGCGTGGTAGTACCTGCCTGTAGTTCTGGCTACCTGGAAGGCTGAGGCAGAAGGATCGCTGGAGCCCAGCAGGTTGAGGTTGCGGTGGCTGTGAGCATGCCACTGCACTCCAGTCTGTGTGAGAGAGTGAGACTCCAACTCAAAAAAAAAATTCAAATGAAAATACTATTTGACCCAGTAATTCCACTTCCAGGAATTTATCATAGAGATTAGAAGTAGAGGCAGAGGTGTAGACAGAGATAGTTTGTTGGTATTTTCTACAAAAATGAAATATGTACAATGTTGTTCGCTGCAGCCTTGTTGTAATAGCAGAAGACTGGAAAGAATCGAAATGTCCATGAAAAGGTTAAACGCATGACGATGCTTCCACAGAATGGAATACTATACAGCTGAGAAGAGCCAGGATGCTCCTCAGAACAACCTTCAGGATACACTGTTAACTGAAAAAAACAAGGTCCAGATTTAATTTTAAGTTTTAAAATTAAGAACTTGCTAAAGTACAATACGATTTGTTCTTGAAAGGAAGAGGGAAAATGGGTGCTCTTACATCCTTTCTCTATCACTGTTTGTAAAGGTCTGTAAGGACTAACAACCGTGACTGTATAGTGGGAAGAATAGAGGACACCAGACAGATGGGAGACACGGGGAAGGGTGGAAGAAACTTCACAAAATACCTCTTTGTACTTTTAAAAATGACTGAACAATATACGTTTAGAATTACCAAAAATCAATTAATGAATTTTTAAATTGAAAAATGTGCTGTCACAGAGTCTACATTTCACAACCAACTCATTTTATATATAGGGAATATACTTTGGATTGCAGCCAACGCTGTGTGTTTGCGAGACACTTACAAAGCAGTTGACTGAAATTGGGGATTTAGCCAGCACAGAACAAAGGTGCATTCATTATCCCAGCCCCTACAGAGACCAAACCCAGTAACGTGGCCTCATTAACAAAATGCCCTGATACCTCAGTTAACTGGTCCTAAACGACTTCTACTGCTCTTTATTGAAGGTATTATTCTACCATCCCATTAGTATAGTACTAGATTATTCTTCTTCTACGTTTTTAAAAAACGCAATGGCATTTCACAACAAAGTCTGTACATAATCATTTTTTCCAAGCGTTTTTATCAGCCCAGCCTCATTCAATATTGAGTTAAATTTTTTATAACTTTAAAAACAAAGTCGCACATATAACAAAAATAGGAATATCTGTACAACCATCTGCACTCAGTCAAATGGCCAAAACCCTCTGATTTTGAAGTGAATATTTAAACAGTCACCACACTTAGATCTTATCTGTGAATGTCCTTCGATGAATGTTTTTATGATGGCTAACGACATTTTCAAAACAATTTAAATGTATATGAATGCCATGTAAGGTAACTCAGGTAGAACTCATATTTATATAACCTAATTTTTCTTTAACACTCATCATGAATTTTCTACATTAAGACAATATGACAATTAGCATTTTAAAAACTAAGAGCTTACACATCCTTGTTAACTTGGCAATGTAAATGACACAGTAATTCTGCAGGCTAGTGATGAGGAGAGAGTCTGCAAATGTGCCATGTCTTCTGGAGATATGAGATGAAGATGACAAATTAAAATGCAGCTTTCACACTGATCAGAAAAGTTAAGATTGTTTACACATTCTGGCAGGACGCCACACCAGCGTCCAACATTGCTTGCGAGGAACAGACCGCTGCTTTAGTTATGATGCTGTCTGTTGGCATCGCGCACAGAAAACAAACTTAAGACAAGCTCCAAGGCAGACTGTGCCACGCAGACCACCGCCCTGCAGCAAGCCCTGTGGCAGGGGCTGTTCCAGCATGGGGACAGCCTCCCTTTCCAACCTGCTGTGTCTTCCCTTGAGACGCACAAAAACCAGCTCAATGCCCTACATCGGTCAAAAATACACACAAAGAGCTTGTCAAAGAAGCTCTCAAGAAGGGATGAAGACAAATATGCACTCTGAGCAGAAAAAACAGCTCATCTGGGACAGAGCGGCAATTCTCCCGGCTCCGAGGCTTTTATTTCATGGCTTTCATGGATTCACGAACTAGAATTGATGTTCTGTCACCATAGGAGCAGATGAACGCTAAAAAAGCTGTTAGTCCCAATTATGATGTGTATTTTCTCAAACCTTCACTTACATATTGCCAAGTCTATTTGATTCACACTAAAGTCTCTAAAGATATACAGTCTTATGCAAAAGGACTCACAATTATTCCAAACTGTGAACATTTAAGAATAATATTTATGACATGAAAGACTAATGTAATCCTAAGCAAAGTGAACAGAAGAGCAGGTAGCTACTTCCTGTGTTTCTGCTTGAGTATATATGCAAAACGTGCCTGCAGCACAGGCCATGGCCTGGCATGTGTATACAATACTGCATAAAACATGGTGAAAACAGCATAAAACATGGTGAAAACAGAAAAAATATAGATATGATCTAAGATTTGACTGTGATTTGAGGCACAGTTCTACTAGCTCCTATTACAAATGATCTACTGTGCTTTTCAGAGTATTTTTTAAGAGGCCAACAGGGACTACGACATAACCTGGACTATTAAAGACACTCATAGTAATACTGACTTATTATTTATGTGGAAGTTTCTCTGGAAAAAGGCTCTCAAAGTGACTGCATGGTAGAGCCAGTCTCATACCATCCCTTCTTTACTAGAAAGGGGAGAGAAAGCACACCCATTCTCCAATTGGCTTTGAAATTTAAGTTTCAAAATGGTGTGGTGTTTATTCTCAGAGAAAATTTGAGCTGTAACCCTTTGGATAATAGAAAGCCCTGTGTTTCCTATTAAATGCTACTGATCATGTGTATGGTGGGATGAGAAAAACCAAGTCCAGTTGCCTAGAAGCATGCATCTTCGAATGTATGACAGTGTTGATTGAAAAGAAAATCTGCTCACTCCTTCCTGCCTCTACCCCAAATTCTCAGAAGTAAAACTGAAAGAAGACACTGCTTGAGAGGAATCCAGTGATGAGAAAGGGGTGGAGAAGAACAGGGAGAAAGGAGGCTTCAGAAAAAAAATAAAAAGATTCCATCACTTCAGATTATATAGGGGTGCCAAAAAAAAGTATCTGCAATTTAGTATGACATTTGCTCAAAAGATGACATTAATCAAATGAATGATAGCATCACCATGCGACAGGCCGGACAGTCAAAGAAAATGGCAGAAACACGGTTGAGCAAATGTCATACTACACATTGCTACCATAATTTAATTCAACTTTGAAAAGTAATACATAGATAACATCTCTTAATATGTGTATACATTTTTTGGCATCCCCTATAGATCATGCCATGAACACTGAATAAAAATTAGGGGGAAATGCCTCACACAATCAAGCTTTGCTTGGTGAATGATCTTCATCACAGAGACATTTTCCAGGTTCCAAATACAGAAGTTAACTTTTCTTCAAAAGAAGCTTCATCTGGAGCCAACCCGCTCCCACCGAGCACAGCACAACATTGCCAAGGCTTCCCAAGAGGCAACTCTGTTTTCCATGGTTCTCAGCCCTAGATGCACATGAAAATCACCTAGGGAATATTTTAAAATCCCAACACCCAGGACAAGTAAATCAGAGTCTCTGGGCATAGGACCCAGACATCGGCAGTTTAAGGCTCCTCGGGTGAGCCTGTGTCCTGCAAGCTGACAAAGCCAGCTTCAGACAGACCCTCCTCCTGGCTTAGCAGGGGACCATTTTTTAAGAGAGGGTTCTGTTGCTAACTCAAACAAAGGTAAGCTCTGCCTCAGATATGGAGACTGCCTGTTAACCAAAGAAAACAGGACTGTGATCTCTCAGGTCTTACAACGGTGTCCCCTTGCAGTAGAAAAATGAGTGGTGGCTCCAGACCAGGGTATCTAACTGCATCAGAACCCCCTGTGGGGCTTGTTAATCCAGGCTGTGAGACCCACCCCCCAGAGCTGCTGACCAGAGGGCCTGGGGTGGGCTGAGAATGTGCATTCCTCCCACGGTCCCTGGTGACATACTGCCCCAGGGACCAAGTTCTGGAACCATTGCTACTCAGTGAGCTCAGGAAAGTCTGAGTCTTCAGCACCCAAAGGGGTAGGCCCACAGACTCCACGAGGTTAGCAATCCCCCAGGGCCTTGGGGTTTCTCAGACATGGCTACAAAGGGGCTGGGTTGACCCTAGAGTGGGCACCTGCAGCGGGAGTTCCGGCACCATGGCCAGAAGCTGGACCGAGGCAGTGAGTGTGGTGCTTTCTGCGATTAGGGGCTGCTCTCTTTAGGGGAGTGCCACTCTCCGCTTGCTCTCTGCAGCTGTCCAGCCTCTGAACGCTTTGAGACAGAGCCAGCCTTATAAGGAGCCCCCATTAGAGCTCATTTTTAACATGCAGCTTTGCAAACCTCAAAAAAGGGGGAAAAAAACCCTGCAAATGTAATTAAATAAATTGCTCCAGCTGAGGGTATAGTCCGTCAACAGCATCAGCAGTTGATTTGCAAATCCAAAAAGGCAGCCCGCTCACCCCCTGACCTTCACACCACAGTATTTATCCCTAATTGGAGCACTATGGTATTTTTTTTTTTTTAATGCCCTCTCTTGCTTTTGATGCCACGTCTCTCTGCGTTCCCCGGAAAGCTGTCAGTCATTCGTCATGATAGATAAACCCCTCACCTTATTGAGTCCTCTCTGTAAATAATCCAGGGTACTGCAGGCTGAAATACCCACTGCCCTAAACCTCTACCAGTCCTGCTGAGAACCCAACACACTCACAATCCCGTTTTTCTGCTAAATACTGGATGCAAGGTCTTCACTTGCTTTAAATAAAAATAGAAGAAACAACCTGTCTCACATATTAAAGAGGTAACTGAGTTAGACTATACTTCAGAGCTGGAAAAAAAAATGCCTCAAAACTAGACATCCAATGTTTCTTGCTAAAATTATGATGTAATTTTCTTATGTCCTTCTAACAAATGGTGTTAGCTTAAATAACAAATATAAGCATTCTGAGGATAGTTGCTTGTTAGAAGAGTCCTACAATGTCTTTAGGGTCTCAAATATTACAGACAATGGAATGATTCTTTACCAGATTCCATAAAGTTTATTGTGAGCTATGACTGAGGTAGAACGTGACTGAAAAAGACCAGGCCTCCTAAGCCTAGTACTGGCCACTGCAGTGTCACAGCAGGTCAGGAGAACATTCCACAGCAGTTTTCGGTCTCTGCCATCACCCCTGGGGAAAAGACTCTGTACCCCCTTATATCCTCTGGATGTACAGACACAGTAGGGCAGGAACTTCCTGAGTTTGGGGTGCATCACACACCTGGAAAGGGCAGTGGTGCTCTCTGGTTCCACCTGGCAAGATGACTTACCTTTGGGTCCCCTCAAACCAAGCACTCCAGGGGGTCCTTTAATGCCTGGAAGGCCACGGATTCCTATCTGGCCTGGGAAACCATTCTCTCCAGGAGGTCCAGGGGGTCCTGGGGGGCCTGGCCTTCCAGGGAGGCCAGAGGCACCTGAGTCAGGACGCTTGAGACTAGCAGCCATCTCAGCAAAATGTTCTGGAAGATAATAAAACAAAGCAACCCAGAAACGTCAGGAACATGCAGTGATTCACATGAAGAGAAGTATTCCAAGGTCCTTTCTCTAAATGTGTCACCAGAGTTTCAAAACTGGCGGCAAGGAATGAATAAAGGTAGGAGTTTTACTGCCGGTGTCCAGCCAGGAAGCTGGACTGGGGCTGTGTGATTCTGCTCTCACTGGATATATTTGGTTTGCTGCTTTGAGATAGAGCAGGGGGTGGGGAGATTTAAAAAAAAAAGAAAAGAAAAGAACTCAAACTGCAGGCTTTGGGTGAGGGACGTTCTGGAAGAGTGTCACCTGAATCCTGGCTAGATATCTGAAAGCCCAGGATAGAAAGAAAAATGAGTCTCTAAACAGAGGTGGAAGTCCACCAACATCCAGAAGCTTTTTTAAAAGCCAAGGACCTAAAAAAAAAAAAAAAAAGGGGCACTATCCAGGAGTGGTTCAGATATCATTTGAGACAGGTTTCACATTTTTAGTTTAAAGATATTACATAACCTGGACTACCCCAAGGATTCACGGCTTCTTATAAATCCTCCCTCTCAGAGGTTTTTTTTCATGCTTGGAATAGACAACAAACACTAAAAATAACTTTTTTCTTGGGAAAGGTCACAGTCGGTCTTAAAAATTAATAACTGTGTGGGCATTTTCAGGAATTATTAATAAGTTCAGAATTACCCACTAAAGTCATGGAGCATGAGGAGATTTCCCCCATTAAAGTGCTCTGAGGAAAATATTCCAGTGCAATTTGTTTTTTTTTTAAATTAGGGTACGAAGAAGAACATAAATTGAAAACAAAATTTTAACCAACATTTTACAATTGTTTAAATGTGAGTACTCTAAATTTGCCTTAAGAGCATAAAATCATTTTCTATGTATATAATGTTTAAAGCTAAAGTAGGCTTTCAAGACAAGATGTCTGCAATGAAAAGACCTATATTGGTTTTCAAACACAGAAGTGATCGTTTCACTCCCATTTGGTTCTGGAAAATTCCATAAGCCTACTAGACAAACTAGACACAAAAGAAGAGTATTTGCTCATGACAGTGTTAGCTACACCAGAATACTATAATTAGCTGTTAGAAGGCACCAACATTATAGTATCTCTCCAGTTATAGGGTATTTGCATATTTTTGTTTTCTGTATATTTTATAACTAGACCCATTTTGAAATAAGTAACAACGTCCATAGCTACCAATGAGTTTGGATCGAGGCTAACAAATGTGAAAACAAATCACAGTTTTGCTAAGATGAGAGTTGTCGGTGTTTCCATTGTGGTACATGATTGGAGATGATGGATTCTGTCACTGGATTCTCACATGACCTGGAGGAGCTTCAGTCAGTACCAAATACACACTAAGTGTGTAACGGGGAGAAAATTTGTGTTCCAAAGAAAAAAGTGTGCGTGTGTGTGTGTGTGTGTGTGTGTGTGTGTGTGTGTGTGTGTACACTTTCTTATAAATTAGCTCCCTTGGCCAAAAAAAACAGAAGAAAAGAAAGGTAGGTTAACACAGAAAGGTAATATTTTACTTTAAGGCTGTAACTATCGCGGATGGCAACAACTGGATAAAACAGAATTGGCATTGATATTACTCAAAATTTCCCACCTTTAGAGCATATTTTAAAAAACACTACTTTTTATTCTTGCACACCTACAAAAATAAGACCTTAAGAAGCAAGAGTTAGCTGAGTTTGGTGGCTCAGCCTATAATCCCGCGCCTTTGGGAGGCTGAGATGAGTGGATTGCCTGAGCCCGCAGGTTTGAGACCCGCCTGGGCAGCGAGACCTCATCTCTACAATAAATCCAAAATCAGCCAGGCGTGGTAGCACATGCCTGTAATTCCAGCTACTCGGAAGGCTGAGGCGGAAAGATCACCAGAGCCCAGCAGGTCGAGGCTGCGGTGGCCGGGAGCGGCCACTGCACTCCAGTCTGGACGACAGAGTGAGACTCCAACTCAAAAAAAAAAAAAAAAAAGAAGCAAGAGTTTAGGGTAAAAAAAAAAAAAAAGTCAAACCGATGTGATTTATTTACCTTGCATGACTCTCATGCAAACCTGCTTAATGTGTTGGTCTGTCGGTGCTCTACCCTGGATAGAAAAGAAAAAGGCAAGTTTACACACACATCACAAAGAAAACATTGTCCCATTGTAAACTGAAGGAGTGAGGTGCTGGAAGTTTATGTCCAGTCTAACCCCACTGCGAGGGATGGAGGCTCCAAGAGAAAGCCTCCAGGACTAACCGCCACTCACCGGAGGGCCCTGGGCACCAGGTAGGCCGGTGGCACCTTGCTCCCCCTGCATGCCCCGGGGTCCAGGCGGTCCTCTTGGTCCTTCCACTCCTGGAAGGCCCCGACTTCCTTCAGGCCCTCTTAAGCCGGGCTCCCCAGGGTTGCCCACCTGGAACAAAAGTGCACTATGAGTCCAAGGCTGAGCAATGAACGCGTCAGCTTCAAATGAACACAAATACTGATGTGAATCTGGGGTTTCCTGTGCTCCATCCATCTCCTGACAGCTCAAGGTTACAAGCCCGCAAGCTTCACCCTGACCACAAGGTGAAGACATAGACTGCCACACAGCTCAAAGTCCCTTAGGTTTCCCATCCACACAAACGTTTAGATGTCTTTATTTTGGGTATAGTTATTATTGTTCACTGGGATAGGACATTTTTTTTAAGTCACAGTCTCCATATCTTAAGCCACTTCCTAAGAGCAAGTTACTTTTTAACAAGGCCTGTTAGCATTTTCTGGTCACACAAAGGCCACGGAGGCTACAAGATGTGACTCTGCACATCACCAATGCAGCAAGCACAAAGCAAAGCTGCTTCTGTGACTGTAAGTTATTTTGCCTTTACAACATTTCTTGAAGAATGTGAAGACACCAGATGGATCCAGGAATTATAAAACAATAACATAAACTAAAGCAATGCACTTAAAATGCAGCATTTAAAATGATGTGTTGAGAATATTCAACCAAAACAAGTAAGTTCAATATTTATCTAAGTATTATGGAAGTTAAAACTCTAAATATTAAAGAAATTAAAAATAAACCACTTGTTATTTTAGCAAAAAGGAAATACAAGATTTTTTTTCTGAAAGCAGATCACTAAAGTAGTTTAAAGAATCTTCGTCTATAATAACTGCTTTAAAAAAAGGTCAAATTAATTCACTTTTTGTTATTATTGTTATTTTATTATTTGTTATTTGATAGAGTTGGTAATAGAAATCCAGCTTTAGTCTAGAAAGAGTCATGTTCAATAACAGAACACACTGAAAATGTGTCCAGTTCCTCTGGTAGAATGTGTGCCCAGTGTGCTGTTGTCCCAGATAAGAATGAGAAGATGAAAGAACAGACAGCCATGAGGGACGACCAGTTCTCAAGACTCAATGTTTGTAAAGTAATTGAATCTACTTCTTTTTCATGTGCAACATCTGTCTAGAAGCAGCTCTCAGACACTCAAATGCTTTAAAATGAAAACGTAGTAAAGTGATGCCTTCACTAGACACATCCAAATAAAACTCAGCAAAAGTTTCTTCTAATCTCTCAGTAGGCAAAAAAATTGATATTCATCTAAGTCGACTTGCCAAAATTTTATCTATGAAGGAATTGTGGCTTCAAAGACTTCTTGGAAGACAGTGTAATGGGGAGAGCCAAAGGTACATGACAAGGGGCTGCAAGTTGTCAGTGCTTGTGGAGTAAAGAGTAGCAGCTTCTGAGAAGACAGAACCAACCCAAAATGCACTAAAGAACATGGAGAGCACGGAGGATACCACATCAGAGTGCACTGTCCTGCAACAATGTGGAAATGCTGCCCTAATAAGGGACACAAGCTTCTCGATGAAGAGATAGGGCAATGTGGCCAGGACATCACAAGGGCCCTGGGACTGTGGGAAAGGACTCCTCCACAGAGGAATGGCAATGCACAAGCAGGAGTCAGGTTCCAGGCCTCTCCTCCTCAACGTGTGTGTCTGTGCCAGAATCAAGAGGACAGTGCAAATCTCTCTGTCTCCCATCCAAGTACTAACCAGGTACCTTCCCTGCTTAGCTTCAGAGATCAGACGGAATCGGGCATGTTCAGGGTGGTATAGACTGAATCTCTATGTAGTGATCATTTCCTTGATTCCAAGACAATGCACTTCCATTTCATCAATGTCACCCAGGCAGTTCAGGTGTGACTCAGCTAGGGAAGAAGGCCAAGGCTCATTTCTTATCTTATATGCAAATCTGAATGCAGTTGACTCGTGTGGACCACTGTACGGTTCATTCAATGGAATTCTGTTATTGAACATGACTCTTTCTAGAGTAAAGCTGGATTTCTATTACCAACTCTATCAACTTTTACTCTTGACCTTTTTCTCAATCCTAAACCAGTTCTGTTCAAAATTCCTAGGCATAAAATGTTACTTGAAGCTAGAGACACAGCAGTTAGAGGCTGATGAGCTAATACACCGTAAGAATATCCATCTCTATGGTGTGTAGGAGCCTGAAACTAGCATCCTAACTAGGGCTGGGGGCGGTCCTCCTGGAGACAGTGGGGCTGGGCATGGGTGTCAGCTCCTAAGTAGGAAGTAGTTGTTCCAAGAAAAGGGAAGAGTGTTCTAGACTAGGAGAACAGAACAAAAAGTTAAACAGGTTGTAAAAAGAACTGCCCATATATGACATTCTAGACATGCCAGACATGAGGCTGGAGAACACCTCATCAAAGGCATTGTATACCTCGCTGAGAATCTGATGCCTTTCCTGAAGGGTTTTCAGCAAAAGAGGAGTACACGGTAGGTTTTATCTTTTTTAAATCTAGATTAACACTGTCTGCCATGAGGATATATATTGGGCAGGGACAGAGAGGAATGGGGAAGACTCCAGAAACAGGAAGGATTTGGAGGTTCATGGAGGCTCTGGTGGTAACATTTGAGACTGAACTCTGAGCTCTCTTTCCTCCTTACACTTTCCTAAGTTTCTAATTGTGTTAGAGGAACATTCCTTTCAAATTAGCAAGTCATCTCAGGGTTCCTACTCACTGGGTCTTTAATTCTGAATACATTTAATCTCTAAGAGCTAAGCATCAGTTTAATTTCTGTAAAATGAAAAAATTGAATAAGATGGTCATTTTCTAGTTCCAGTAATCCTCTATTATATTTTCTTTATGCCTTTATCTTACTTCCCCAACTACAACACACAGGAGATTAAGACAATTGCTGAAATATTTTGCAATGGAACAACTGCCAACGAAATTTAATCATACCCGTGACACCACAAAGCACAAGGTGGTTCATTAAAAATGAACCTTTTGGGGAGGAAATTAGAGTCTTACCACGTATACTCATTGAGCCATTTATAATATGAAAAGAAAACTTCCTTTAGAGTAGTGAGATCAAAAGGTAGATCCATTTACACACTGTGAGGTCATTTTCTATTGAATTAATCCATTACCTAAAGAATAAATCTAGACATTTATTTCCTTCAGTGTAAGTCCTCTAAAATTAAATTTAATAAAATGATTTCATAAAGCAGAGCATAACATTTTCTACAGCTTTATTGATATTTTTAATTTGTACATCATTACTGATTATTATACTTACAGATCCCCTTGGGCCAGGTAATCCTATGTCTCCCTAAATTGTAAAATATATATATATATATATTAGAACAATGCATTTACATTTGACACTTTCCTAAAAACATTAAGAAGGTTATTGTGCTGCTGAAATATAGAAAGCTTTGACCAGATTAACACTGGCAGTGCAGAAAAATATTAAACTCAACATTTGAATTCCTGTCCCAGTTCTACTAATTAACTTGGTGACTTTTTGTAAGCTATGTAACTTCCTAGACTTGGCTAACTCATCTGTTAAATAACAGGGCTCTCCAAATTTCTATCCAGGTCTGAAATGCTAGGTGTTGAGCATTAAAGATGTGGAGGGCAAAAGATATCACAATAGCATTCTGTTATGAAATATAATAGACATGTAAACCTAAAGACTTCATTTTCCTAACTCAAACAATATTTAAAAATTCATCCTAAAAAGCCAATTGAACCAAATATGCATGCTTTTACACTTAAAAGAAATTTGAAAATCTCCCACCAGTAATTCTAGATATAAATTCAGCTCAAGTGATAGCACATCAGTTACACTCCACTACAAAACATCATTTTCACCAATAAAAAAATGAACGCCTTCAACAGAAAATGAAATTGGAATAATCCTCTTAAGAATTTACTTAATAGTTGGGAGGCTTTGGCTAATTTAAATGTTACACTTAAATTAAAAATCTGAATAAAACATTACCAGAATTTCTTCCTGCACTATAAGCACTATATTTTATGAGAAAAGTATTTCCCTGACCCCAAAGGACCAAAACATGAGTTTCCACATTAGGTCATGTTTGTTTGTGTCAAAGCCATCATGGTAGCTAACAAGTCCAGAAGCTCTGGCAGAAAAGATGACTTGTTTTTCTTTTTATGCCCCTCCCGAAGATTCACTAGTGGCATCCTCTGGAGATGGAGGTCGTTTCTTGGGAGGTGGTTTAGACTAAAGAGAATACCCTTGATCAGATTTGTGAGCTGCTGCTAGCCATAAGAAAACTTCACCTTAGTTTTCATGATAGGCTCTATTTGTAGACTTTCTATAGTCATTTAAGAACCACCTTGGATGTCTAGATGTAAAGCCCCAAGAGGTTTCACCAGCTATAAGGAAATACTTTCCTTACTTTTTTTTGTTCTCCAAAAGTTTAAAGCCAGGTCTATAAATTTGCCATGTTTCCTCTCTGCTTTACTTGATATTGGCAGCAATTCTGGGAGTCTTTTGTTAACTTATAGAAGAAACATCTCAGCCTTTAAAGAAGGCAGTAAGAATAAGTGTCAGAAGAATACACACACACACACACACACACACACACACACACACACACACACAGACATACATATGCTTCAAATACAGCTCGAAATTGGTAAGGATCCATCATTAACCAGAACACAAAAATCTTACAAGTTCCCCCCTTTCTCCTGCTTCGCCTTCTTCACCAGAGGCACCCTAAAAATTAGAAAGTCACATTTTTAAATTCTTAGTCCCAGGGTCCAACATTAGCCAACCAACATTGATAAGCATTCAGAAGTGCCCACAGAGTTCCCAGGACCTCAGAATACAAAATGCACTCAGTGGCTTTCCAACCTAGCTGTCCATGATGAACCAGATCAGAAAACAGCAGGGAGAAAAGCTAGGGGCTAAGGCTGAGTTCCAGCTGAAAGGGAGGATCAATGCCCGGGTTCAGCAATTTTATAACTGTTACCTAACATTGGTTTTGAAAGGGCTCTTACAGCAGAAAGAGGAACCCAGGGAAAGGGTTGAATCGAAGGCATGTATGCAGTTTCTTTGCTGAGGTCTTGATCAAGAAAACCTGAGACCATTTGGATGAGCCACAGAAGACCCCATCAGACAAGGGTGAACTGAGCTAGTGAACCAGAGACAGGCCACCCTCTCCAAGGGAGAGACAGCGTGCAGGTCTGGAGGCAGAGCCCTAGTTAGCTCCAGTTCCCTAAAACAGCAGCTAAGGCTACAGAGCAAATGCACTACGACACATCTGTCACACTGAGAAACAATGCCCGTCCCCGTGATTTTAATCAAACCCACAGACCAAGTGCTCCCCCCACCCTACTTGTGAAGATGCAGATCAAACACTGCATTTCACACCAATCAAATAATAGAACTTACCTGTTCACCCTTTGGACCAGGTTCACCAGCCACACCCTGTAATAAATGGAGCATAACACTTTTCAGTATTCGGGGGTGTTTAATTTCAAATGAGCCTTACTAAACTTGTAGACAATAATCAAGGGAAGATCTGGAGAAGCTGACAAGCCCCCAAGAGTCTCCAATAACTTGGGGCACTCTGATCACAGCCCTGTAAATGTGACTAGCAGGAATGAAAATTTTAGAACTAAATAGAAAGCACAATTACAATGAAATTTTTTTCTTTTCTTAGCTTTTTTCTTCTGGTAAATTATTTTGTTAATAGATTTTTTTGCTTCTTAATCTCAGCTCTCTGTCATTTAAAATATCTTTCTTGATAGTTCTTCATGATAAATTCTAGAAAAATTCCCACTGGATCAAAAGCCAGCTTGGTTTCTCAACATGATAGATGTTAACCTTCCAAATAAAGAACTTTCTGGAGTGCTGGATAGCTTACCCTGTCACCTTTCATTCCAGGAAGTCCAGGGGGCCCAGGCAAGCCAGGGAGGCCGGGGCTTCCAGAAGAACCCTGGAAAACAAGTAGTCCGCAGAGTCAGTGCACGGCAACACAGAGAGCACAGAAAGCAGACAAACCTCAGTATGTTGTCTTGTAGCTAAAATAAATGTCCAGTGGTGGGTTACCCTGCCTCCTGGGTTTGTGTCTCCCCCACAGTCTCAGAAGAGGGACCAGTCCCCTCCAGTCTCAACCCCCCTTGCCCTCGGTTCCCTTGGTGCTCCTTGGCAGCAGTAGGCTCTTGGCGCCAAGCCCGTCAGTGACACTGTTGTGTATACACACCCGCCAGGAGGACAAGGTGGCATTCACTCATGTCCTGCCACTCCAAGAACAGCCAGAGGCCCTGCACGGCTCTCCCAGTTTTAGAATGTATGCCACAAGCCACTCGGATTGAAATACCCTTGGAAGGTGTCAGAGATGTTGATATTTCACACATCCACAAAACAACAGAAACCAAGCACAGCTGATGACAACTGTATGATGTTTTCTCCTCTTGCTTCTTAGTCAAAGTGCACCATGTTTTGAAGAAAGCAAGTAGATGAGACATTACTTACCAGTTTACCTGGCAGGCCTGGGGCTCCCGCTGGTCCTGTCTCTCCTCTACTACCCTGCAGAAACACAAACATCATTATCAACTGGGTGCTCTGTCAAAATTAAAATGCTTAATTATTATGTAAATAAAATAATGTCCTACTGGGGTTTTGTTTAAATATAAAAGTTATCAAAGTCTCCTCCACTTCCTTCTGCAGAAGGCATAGGGCTTACGGCAATCTTTGCCCATCATGATTTTATTTTACTGTATTTATTGTGATTATGGACTATTAGAAATCATCTGATACATGCATATGAAATAGCATTTAGTAATTTTCAGCACCTGTATAACATTCTAACTTTTAAAATGGTTACTTGTGTACATGTTTTAGACTATGTGTTCTATAGGTATGGAGATATACTAATTTAGAATTCTGCACAGGGCCTAGAACACAGAGTAAATTTTCAGGTATGCAGATCATGTTAAAGCAACATCTGGCAAATGATCTTAAACCTCAAAAGAGTGAAAAAAGAAACGCAGAACGAGATTTTGCCCTTAAATTACTATTGCAACTTCAAAACAACACAGATGGTAGAAATTTAAAGTTTCTGAAATAAAAATTTTTCTTCTACTCATTCTTGTTCTAAGCATGTCTTAAAAGATTAAATAGGCTTTGCAAAGTATAAGCTTCAACAAAGATACACCAAGAGCAACACTAATTTTATTTTGTGAGCCAATTTTGATTTTTATTTGAAAAACTCTAAACTTTCAGATTTTTATTTCAAACTCTAAACTTTTTGAATTATTGAGAAAAGGTGACACATGAGCTTTTCAACATTTTCCCCTGAGAACATCATACAATTTTATGCAATCTGACAAAAGCTCATTTTATTTCTAACACACATTCGACTAAGCTAAACATTAACATGATCAGACAAATAATCACACTCCCTGGAAGGTATATATTCACATTTTTAAAAAGTCCTTTGCAGCCGGGCTCGGTGGCTCAGCCTGTAATCCCAGCACTTTGGGAGGCCAAGGTGAGTGAATTGCCTGAGCCCGCGGGTTTGAGACCC